TTGCAAGGAATGTCCATTTTATATGCTTAAGTCTTTCTTACTCCAAGTTGAATAACTAGAAATAGGTTAGTTCCCATCCCCCCTTCTTGTGAGAAGCCACTTTTGTAAAAATGAGGCAAGAGCACCAGAAGTTTGTCCCTAAATCATTACTCTTTTCTTCCAGAAGCAGAATTTGTCTCCTTTGCCCCACAACCCAAGTATAAAGTTGGACAAACCAGCTCCAACTGTGTCTCATGCACACATTCCTGTCTGCCCAGCCCTGGCCTCCTTCACTCACCATGGTCTAGTCTTTGCCCAGAGGGCGTATGTGTCAATGTGTGTCATTGACTTCAGCGACACTTTTCATTTTGGCTTGAGCATCTTTGGTTATACGTGTTCTTTTCCTCTCACAGTATTGTTGTATGGAATTATTAATGGCCTTTTATTAACAGAAAATATATTGTTCACTTTACCACTGCACTTTCCTATAGAACTTGTATGCTCACAGATTCACTACTTTTCTGATACTTTGTTTAGAATGGTGGTGATTTCTTACAGCAACTTAACTTGATGCTCTACTTAATATGTATCTATTATAATTTGTTTCCCATTTATGACTGAGATTTGCAGTGCACTGTTTGGTTTTGTTTAGTTTCCAGTTAAACTTATTTTAACTTGTCTTAATAAAGTTTAACTCTATTGCATATCCATGTTCCTGTCTGTACAGTAAAAATATGATTCTCATTTGAACTTATTAATAAAATATTTCCTTTATCCTTTTCACAGACAACAAAGTTATCGGACACCAAAGGCATGCTAGCTACTGTGCTCTAGGCATTGGGTTTGCAAAGATGATTAAGGAAATTTTAGTTCTCAAGTAGCCCACAGTGAAGTGGGTGACATTGTGGTTGGTTTTTTGTTTGTTTATTTGATTGTTGTTGGTTTGGTTTCGTTTGGTTTTGGTTTTCCTTATGTAGAAAGTTTACTTTCTAAGCATATTGTTGTAAAATATAAAGTTCTCTTACAGACAGGTTTTGGATTTCCTATTTTCCATTTTATTTAAACTCTGTCCCTCATATATTCCTCTTGTGTTTTAAAAGATGGGGAGAAAGGTCCACACAGTGGCCGCTCTCTCCCCAAGTGGTCACATAAAGCATTGCTTGTTAGTGTTGAACAGGAGTAAAACCAAATCTCATTCATACGTGTGCGATGGACTGATGCTTCGTAACCAGTGCTGTGGGAAGGATGAATGTGTAGCTGAGTCAAGGCGGTTTGAGCCTCAAGCTTTCTTCTTTCTTGCACATGAACATCTGAACACCCCATTTTCCTTTAAATTTAGACAAGCTGAGTTATGTTGTATCCAATTGCAAAGCAGTTGAAAACTGACCATTAAAATTTTTTTAAAAATAGAATTGTGTGGCTATCAGGAAACCAACATTTGTGGAGAGTATTAGTTTGCTAGGGCTGCTATAACAAAGTACCACAAACTGGGTGGCTTAAACAACAGAAATTTATTTTCTCACCATTCTGGAGTTTAGAAGTCTGAAATCAAGGTGTCAAGAGGATTGGTTCCTTCTGAGAGGGCTGTGGAGAAAAGATGTGTTCCAGACCTCTCTCCTTGGCTTGTAGATGGCCGTCTTTTTCCTGTGTTTTCACATTCTCTTCCCTCTGTACACATGTCTGTGCCCAAATTTCCTCTTCCTATAAGGACCCCAGTCTTATTGAAATAGAACTCACCCTAATGACCTCACTTTAACTTTACTACTTCTATAAAGACCCTATTTCCAAATTCTGTTACATTTTGAGGTTCTGGGTGTTAGAACTTCAACGTGTGAATTTGACAGGAGACACAATTAGCCCATAACATGAAACGACTCCAGGGTCTAAGCAAGATGCTAGATTTTTTTCATATATATTAATTTATTTGACCCTCACCAAATTGCCACACTGGAGGGATATTGGAATCCCATTTCATAGATGAGAAAAACAGAGACCAAGAGCAATGACTCATCTTGCACAAGGTGACCAGCTAAAAAATAGCAAAACCAGGATTCGAACCTAAATCCGTATGATCCTCTCTACCGTGTGGCTTCTCGGTATTTTCCTTCTCGGCTATTTCCTTCCTTTTTTAAAATGTAATACTCTGAATCAAAATAGAGTCCAGGAAAGTTGTCACTCCGTTCTTTTGGCTAGGAAAATTTATTTCTATAAATGTGTTTGCCTTTCTATTTGGTAGCCGATGCTTTTGCTCCTGGACACCTCTGCAGCTTCTCTACATTTCTTCAACCTTCTCTAACAGATCTCATGACTCAATAAAATGCCATTCACAGATCCAGACAAGGTATTGACATCAACTCTATCACTTTCATCTAATAAACGGGCTCTCTGGTCAGGGAAGAGTTTGGATTGGTTTGACATGCTCCATTATTTAGAAATCTTTCAAATCTCTCAGAGGGCAACACTCCTTTAAGTGGGAGATTACATCATAAGGGCAGAGTCTTTTCTTTTTTGGTTTTGAGCCAAAGGATGGAGAAAGAAAGAGAGAACATCTGTGGGTAGACAAGGTACAACCTGATGTGAAACTCGCTAAGACAGTGGGAGGAGATTAATGATAAAGATTTATCTCTCAAGAGTTGTTGAAACTATCTGGTCTCGAATGTAATCAGGAGAGTATCAGACTAAGGACAGACATAGCACTTTTCATTGCCAACATGCTATGTGTAGTAAATGAAACCAGTAAGTGAAATTGGAAAATTGCTCAACCACATCCACAAATAGCTTGTGGTTGACTTAAACATTTAGAAATACATGCTCTTTACCAAGAATTGGAAAATGGCACTTTTCCCAGTAACATAGTGCAAAGGATATGATATTATAATACTGGGATTCTAATTTTGGCTCTACCACTTACTATTAAAACTAGTATGTCTTGGGCAAGTTAGTTAGTCTCATTGAGTGTCAGTTTCTTCGTCTGTCAAACCAGTGTGAGGGTCGCTGTGAAGCTCAAATGCGATTGTATGTGAGAGCTTTGCAAACTATAGAGTGCTATGTTTATGTTAGCTATTTTTATTGTTACTTTATTTTTAGCCCAAATCTAACAAAACCCACAATTATGCTGAATTATCTAGTTCAATCAGCCAATTTACAGATTATCCAGACCCTCCATTTCCCCTTCCCCTTGTTAGTTCTTGCTTTCTTTTTAGTCCTTGCAAAATGTTTTAAAATCATTGTGAAATAGGGAGAATATGCAGTTAGGAATTTTTATTTTTTTATTTGAATTTTATAAATATATATTTACAGGCACTTAATGGGGAGAAAGTTGAAAATAGCCCAATTAACGAAGAGCTTGTGGTATCTACCAGTAAAGTGGCCTGTCACTTTTTAAAGGAGCTAAGCCCTTCTGAGGAAATTGCCTGTCATCTGGTTTCAAAACAGTCGTGGCAGACTCCCCGTAGATGCTGACACTTTTAATTTTTCCTGAGAGCTATTAAAATTGTAGAACTTTTGGAACCATATTCCCATATCACCTTGATGGACCAAGTGATTGAATAGAACATGTGATAAGGATCTTTCCTCTATGATGAAGCACCATGGAAAATCCTGAGTTGGCAACTCATAAAGTGATTGCAGATCAGGTCTCTGGGTTTTCATTGTCCAAGTGTCTGTAAGAAGTTCTCTTGGAATAGGAAGGTCTCTCCGGACTTGCAAATAAAATATCGTGTCTGTCTTCCTTTCTCTCCAGTAGATAGTACATTACCTCTTAGGTCACTGAAAATGATCACTGCTTATTCTGTATTTAGAAAGAGATGCTAATGGTATTTTCTCTTTCCTGGGAATAGGGCCCAGGAGGGAATCAGGAGGGAGTTGGTATTCACCTAGTATGTATCCATCTTGGAAGAGAAGGATCTTAGCAGTGGCTAAATCCCTGGGGGATAACTCTTATTGACCACGGTTTGATACTTGGTTACTTAAGAAGTGAAGTTCAATAAGCCTTGCTTTCAAGGATTTCCAAATGCCTTCGCTAGCTAGAGGAAGATAGCTAGTTTGGGGGAGAAATGATCTGTAAGATAATAGGGTGCTACACTTCAATTTCATATGACCCAGGCAGCTGGTGGCCATCGACTGTCAGTACTCTCTGAGGAAATCAGTTAATTCTAGTTATAGATCAGGATTTTAATTAAAATTTGGCATCTGATTAACCGCGGTGAACTAATTTGGTATGCCAGCATCTCTTTACTGTGCATTCTCCTTGGATATGATTAGGTTGATGCCAGCAAATCTATTATTCTGACAAACGTTAATCAGAGATAGGCTTCTGATTTTAAATTCAAATTCACTGTGCACTATTAACTTTTCTAACATTGTGTGCTTTTGATGGCCTGATTTGCATGATTTTTAAAATATGCATTTCTGGCTATAATTTTATTATCTGAGTGTTCTTTTGTTTAATATAAGTTTTGTGAGGAGGGTTTTTTAAAGAGTGCGAAAAGGTTATCAATCTACTGTGACAGAAGTGTACTGTGGTTGAATTCCTGTGACCTAGATTGATTATCTGTCATCAGGATAGAAAAGCATAAAAGTTAGGACCACTGGAGTCAAAATGCCCAGGTTCAAATCCTACACCCTCCCCTCCATGTGGAGTATACATAATGTAACTGTAGAGAAGTTATTACGCCATAGCTTTATCCTCATATTTTAATGGAGATAATAATAGCATTTACTTGGTAGGGTGTTGGAGAAGGTTCCATTAGAATGGCACGTGCATCAGCCCACTTTTGCTGGGTTATGCTGCAGTAACAATGCATCTAAAATAGGAATAGCTTACAACCAGAGATTTATTTCTCATTCATGTTTTTGTTCATCGTGGATTTTTAAATCCTGCCCACAAAAATAAATTATAGTTTGGGATTCTACTAAACTATAGACATTACCCTCAGCTAGGACAGAAAATACTAGTATTTATGCATTTGTCAGATGGTCCCTTCAAGAGTAAATTAAGGTGCTGAATGCTTCCTTTGAACTTTGCAGGGAAGGTGATCTACGGAGAACCCATAGCAGCCAGTCTTGGCACAGATGGCACTCACTACTGGAATAAAGAATGGCACCATGCAGCCCACTACGTCATGGGTCCACCCCTGCGACCAGACCCTTCAACGCCTGACTTCCTCATGAATCTATTGGCTAAGTAATCATTTTGCAAATGACGGTGAAGGGTTTTGCCAAAAGAAGGTTTGGGTGCAGGAGAGCCTGTCCTACCATCTGGACCTTCTATTGACCACCCGGTATTCTCTTTAACTTGACCTGAGAGGTCCTGGGCACCCCTCATCTAGACAGCAAAAAACATTGACTTAATTGTGTTATCATATGTTGTGAAAGCCTCTCCTGGACACAGAGAAATCAGATCATTTTTGCTGAAATTTTACTCTTTTCTGATTTTTTCCATCTCATATTGCCCAGAGCCAGGGCTCTTCATTATGCCTTATTTTTGTCAAAATATTCTTGAATTTTGTTGCTATGCTTTTATAATCCAGAAACCAAGTTGTTGTGTAGGTAACTCCATTATTTTCTGGAAGGGTATGATCACTTTTCTTGAGAATTCCACCATTCGTAGATATCCAGACACTCCCTGTTCACAGATACCCAGATTCAGGCTAATGGTTTTGCACAGAAGACTGTCCAAGAGTTCACTTGCTTCTTCCTTTCAGCTTCCTTCCCCCTCCATGATTCTACATCCCCAAGATTACTTGCAAGTCAAAGCAGGATTCCTGTCCCTGGTGACATCAACATCCTCAGCCAGTTTCACTCCCCGTTCATCACAGAATGACCTGCCCTCCATTCACAGGGATCACCATAGTGGGATCTTTGTGGAGTATTCTGCTCACAAGGACTTCTCACTTACATTATTGCTAGTGATCCTGATGTTATCTTCATCAAGTTGGCGCAACTATCCATTTCTAGATAAGAAACTGAGTCTCAGACAATCTGATAATCACAGAGCCAGTAAGCGATGGAGCTGAGTCTGGAACTCAGGTTTTCTAACCCATGATCCTGCATCATCCTCCTTGTAAGCATGGTCTCTAAACGTGCTTCCTGAAATAAAGACAGGAGAGGGATGGAATACATACTTGAAAAAGCTATTCCTTCTCCATTATATTTTTCTGACTTTCATTTGAGAAGGGGGTCAGGGAATTAGGAAATGTTATGGTGGTTTCCTCCTAACACATTCTGTCTACTCATCCCTGTCTCTGTTGTGTTTTCTTTTTTTTTTTTCTTTTACAGTGATGATCTAACCACAACAGGGACTGACCACTGCACTTTCAACACCTGCCAGAAAGCTCTTGGGAAAGATGATTTTACTAAGATTCCCAATGGGGTGAATGGTGTTGAAGACCGGATGTCAGTCATCTGGGAGAAAGGCGTGGTGGGTTTCATGGGATCCAGCCTGGTTTCACCTAGTTCTTTAACCAGGATCCTGTCCATTTGGGGACCAGAGTGGCACAAACCTTCACAGAGAAGCTTTTTGATTGTTTGGACTAGGATGGAGCCTGGGAATGCAACACCATCACCACCACCCCCATCCCACCCTGAAATATATAATTTTCTTCTCTGCATAGTTTAGTTTAGAGGATGCATTGTACCACTTTGCAGAGACATTAGGGGATGAATTTAGACTGGGTACGAAGAGGGTTATTCTTGAAGTCTCTGAAATGTTATAACCCTCCTGCCTAATTTCTCACGTTCTGAATTCTAATGCCTCATGTGTCACTGGTATAAAGTCTGGAAATGATAGAAAATGCATGAAGGATGTTTATTATGTTCATACCTCCTTTTCATGAAATCTTTGTTGATGTCCCTTTTTAAAGAAACCTTGGATATCATATTATAAAGATTGCTGTGTGAAGTGACATAAATAATAATTCAAAGTCTAGAAAAAAAGATTTAAAAAATTCCTATGGCTAAAAAATTTCTCCTTGAAGACAGAGAAGAGTCAAATGACTGAATGTCTATGTTCAGCCAGTTGACACGCGTAGCTGTAAATATCAGCCTGGTTAGGCCTGAGGGCCCCACTGCCATGTACTTCTCACCCATCCCCTAGGAACCCTCCCTCAAATGGCACCATAATCATATCTCACACTTCAGAATCCTCTTTGATTTCTTTTCCCCTACACATACCACCCACTTCTAACTCAATTAATTGTTCTCCAAGTCTTGTCAATGTTATTTCCAAAATGTCTCCTATTTCCATCTTCATGGCTCTCATTGTAGTTGGAGGCTCATATTTTGTTTGGACCCTTGCAGTAGTCTCACAGCTGGTGTCCTTGCCTTCAGGGTCTCTTTTGCTATGATCTGTTCTATACTCTAGTACCAGAGTTACCATTCAAAAATGAAGTTCTGTTCATACTACTTTCCTCTCAAAACCCCTTTAATTTTCTTCATTACTTATTGGATGATAGCTGAACAATTAATTTACATGTAAGGGTCTTCAAAAGATCTCCAGAGTCCCATCTTCTGCTAATCACCCTCCTCACCCCCTCTGCCTCCACCCTAACTCTAACCATCCCAGATGACTTCTCTTTTCTTTCTCTTTGCTTAGCTTTTCTTGGTAACAGTCCAACCTTCCTCTTGAACTTATGCTATGAGTGTCTTCATTCCAGCAGATTTCCATAACCTGTTATAGTTCCCAGGTAAACAAATGGCTTTAAAGTGATTGAATATTTCTTTATAACATCGGAAAACTGTGTTATTTTATGAAACATTAAGATAGCTTACTTATGGGAATATTACTTTCTGAACATGATTCTTAATCATTTTTGAGGCAGGGACCCTTTGATAATTAAATAAACCTTAAGGATCTTCTTACCATGTTAATGTACATAAGGATAAACCATCAACACTCAGCGTTTTTAAAAAATTTTGGAAAGGCCATATCCCTCTGAGTTCTGTCCTTATTAAAATCTCTTACAATAGGCTATCCACAAGTGTTGGCTCATGTAAATTTCAATTGCATAAAATTGAACATATTGAGTTGACTTTTTTATCTTTCTAAAAGCATTGCCACCTGATTTAAAAGTATTGTTACCTATCTTATTTTAACACTTTAATATTCTATCTAATGTCTACATAATTATCTCATAAATCTTAGGTCTGCAATAAATAAGCCAGGTCATAAATGTCAAAGGTGGTGGTGGTAAACTTTAAATGAGAATTGAAAATACCATTGCTAACACTTAGCTGTCTTCCATAACAATCTTGTGTGATTCTAGAAAGAATGGGAAAAATTAATGGGGTTGTTTGTTAAGTTGATATGTTTTCGAAAAGTTGTCCTCAGGCTTCCATGTGTAACCTCATTATCTCCATCATTATCATTCTGATTGTTTAATACTTTTTTTTTTTTTGAGACAGAGTCTCATTCTGTTGCCCACGCTAGAGTGCTATGGTGTCAGCCTAGCTCACAGCAACCTCAAACTCCTGTGCTCCAGTGATCCTCTTGCCTCAGCCTCCCAAGTAGCTGGGATTACAGGCACGCACCACATGCCTGGCTAATTTTTTCTATTTTTAGTTGCCCAGCTAATATTTTCTATTTTTAGTAGACACAGGGTCTTGCTCTTGCTCAGGCTGGTCTCAAACTCCTGACTTCAAGCGATCCTCCCACCTCAGGCTCCCAGAGTGCTAGGATTACAGCCATGACCCACCATGCCCAGCCATGATTGTTTAATACTTATCAGCATCCTCAGATGTTGGCCTCTGAATATTAGAAATTAGGTGCGGTTCTGTTTGGTTTAAGAGATGCAAGCCTTGTATATTTATCGATAGCATATTTTTTAGTATTTGATCATTAGAACAAATGCATTTTTTTCTTTGAATTGTTTTATAGCATTGTGGTAAAATGGATGAAAACCGATTCGTGGCAGTTACCAGCACAAATGCAGCCAAAATCTTTAATCTCTATCCAAGAAAAGGAAGAATAGCTATAGGATCAGATGCTGATATTGTTATTTGGGACCCAAAAGCCACAAGGTAAGTCTAAGTTCTTGTATTCCTTGGCTTCACCATGGAGAAAAAGCACTAACTTGCAAAGTAATTATGCTTTGGCAATAATCAGCCATTTCTTATTAGATGATTTATTTAGCTGTGCTCAGGTATTTTGAGCCTATACACAAGATAAAGGTTTTGATGTGCAAATATTCCTTTGTTTTTCTTGGCATTCTCTGGAAATGGATATATATATAAAACCAGTATGAATTTACCATTTCAGTGCCTGGCAAATGCCCAAGTTCACATGGAGGAAAGGTACAGAGCAAGGAAGAAAATAAAAGGCTTAGTTTGAAAAGAGTTGAATTGAAAACTCGAAATAATTATAGCCTTTTTGAAGCTTTCAGAGAGAAAAATTCCAACACAAAGGATGTCATTTTTAGTTAGCCAGATTTTCCAGTTGAGTTCATCTTGAGCCTATCATTCCCAATAGACTCTAGCTTTTTGTTTCCAATTTCCATAATTCTATGTTAATATTGCAGATCTGGCAAATTCCACCAACTCAGGAAAGCATTCAATAAGGGCTGAAGCTCTGTTAATTTTTCCTTACAGAATGTTAGCACAGACGACACCTGTATCCTGATTTGTGCTTTTCATAAACTTTGTAGTTGTAGTGGAGACAATCCCATTACATACTTTAACATTTTATCTGTGTGTGCATGTGCATGTGTAAACAGGAATACGGTAGGCCCTCTGCCTTCATTGTACAGACATGTATTCAAAGGCTATTAGGTTTTTTATTGTAATCAGCAAAAGTCTGTAGTTGGAGGGTGATATTATCACAAAGGCCCAGCTTCAGCTGAAGTGCTCCTGGGCGACCCTTGGGCAAAAGATGACCATTTGAAGCATTAAGTTACCATCACTGTGAACCTAGAAACAAGCCCCAGATATTCCCTCAGAAAATACTTATTTTTTTGTGCTTGACACTCTCTGGGCATTTTCCCCACCCAGGGACTGGTTCACATGCTTGGCAGGCTGTGGTCATGGCAAGTAGCCTTTAGTGACGCACTTCAGTGTATCTCCTCATCGCTGGTTCCCATCCATGTGATGCAGGGAAGGTGGTATAAGCATCTGATATACACAAATGTCCTAAGATACCAACTAGGAACAACTCACGGTCTTTGTTATTAATGTCAACAAGGAACTATCACCCATTTAAGGACTAAATATCTGGTCGTCAAATGATCTAGGTCCCTCTCCCTGCATAAGAAATGAAGACAAGTAAAACCAAATGTGGCAGCTTCTCTGCTAGCTAGAAAAATTGTGCTTGGGAAGGCAATAAAAAAATTGCTTGGATTTGGATTGATCTGTGGATGAATTGAGCATGCTGTGTTTAGAGAACTCCTGATATTTTAAATATCACTCAACCGAGGGCTGTTGTATACCCAGCAGGAGCCTGTCCAGGGTCATCTTGGCTATGATTCAAACAATTTAGGCTGCTCCAAGGGCTGGGACCAGGTCAGTCTTCTGAAATAATTATGGCTTAAGGAAATCACAAGATTTAATCAGGAAACCTAGAAATTTGCAAAAGGGAGAAAACTATCATGTGAAAGAAATATTTGTGAAAAATGATGTTTTTGAAGTATACCATCTCAGAGAGTCGCAGTAATGTCAATAATTAGTACTAATTTGCACTTGCACAGCTCTCAGCAGGTTATAAAAATGCTTTGGTATCTAAAATGTGATTTCCCAGGTAAGACAGATATGATCACCTTATGGCAATGAGAAAATAATAACTGCACAACAGTATAAGTGACAGATTTGATATGAGAACCCTGACCCAATGACTTTGACTTTGTAAACTTGTATGTTTTTTGTGAGATCCAGTACCACACTACCTCCTTAGATCAAAGCAGAGCACTTTGTAATCTACTTAATTGTTCATGTTCCATTTTTTCTTCTAATCATGTGGGCCAGTAACTAAAAGCTGTTTTGGGTTTGATTCCATTCTCTGTTATTCCTTATCAAAAGGGGGAATGGCTGGGAGGCCATCCCTGCAGTTCTTCTTTATAATCTGCATCTGAGTAGCTCCAGCAGGGCCCCCCCTCAAGAGACCTCATCAGAATTTCTAAGAACAACACCAGCTCAGGTGTAAAGCATTGTCTTCCTTAGACAACCGGACAAAGAGAAATGACCTGAGCCTAAGGTTGTGCATAATTCACTTACTTTATTTACCATATATGGTTGCTTGGAGGATATTTATAGGCTGTGATTATGTCTCCTTGAGTCATGTTTTTAGACTATATAAATTTAGACTACTTTCTCGCAAGTTTTAGCTACTGGTTTCTATAAAATTGTTTTGTCCTTCCTTTCCTATTCAGTTGTTTCAGAATAGCACATAATGATCCAGATGTGTTTTTTTTAGGATCTATATATATTACCTGCTTAATTTCCCTCATTTCTAGCCTAAGAATAACTAACTTAAGGTCAAACTATAAAGCTGGTATGTTTTCCTTTTAAGTTTCTTTGTATTTCTTTCTCTAATCAGTTCTTTAATATTTCTTATGTAATATCTATCCTTCACTTTATGCAATAATGATAATAGAAATTAAATATTTACATTTTTATAAGTATGTCTTTCGGGAGTAAAGACACAGATTTGGCACTTAATTATTACTATTAATCTTCTTTGTCTACGTGTGCTTATTGTGTACACGTAGGTGCTAAGCGCAGTGAAAACCAGCACACACCCCAGAGCCTCATGTGCAGGTTCTGATCCCAGCCCCATCAAAGGCCATTTGAAGTCTCTGCAAATCCACTCTCTCATATGTCAAATGAGATTATTAATAACTCTTATGCCTACCTCACCAGGTTTCTGTTAGAGTCACATGAGATAATACATGGGAAAATGCTTTGCCAACTGAGAACATGTTACACAAAAACAAGATGTGTATTATTATGGTTATTTCATATTTATGTATTTGACTGGCATCATTCTTTGCAGTACATTTTCATGTTTAGATGTTCTCAGCTGTTTTGCCTGTGGTGACCAGCGAGGCTGATGAACCACAGGGTTCTAGTTTTCCGACCCTCAGATCCTTTTAAAAAAATTGGAGACCTTTTTGTTTTTCTTTTCTTGTTTTACTGTCCTTTTGACAAGTGGAGAAATATTTTCAGGATATATTGAATTGATCTAGCCTCCCTTGGGTTTCTTTAACGTATTCGGCTTATTCTGTATCTTGCCTCTTTAATCCTTTAATTTAAAATTTTTCTCTAAGCCGCCATCAGAATATTTTGCACCGTCATTATTTATCTTTTTTAATGTGAAGATTGCAGAATGGGGGAAAAGGAGATGGGGCTGTTGAAGAGGAGGCTTCATAGAATAATGAGTCCGGAAGAATAGAGGAACAAAGAGAAAGCGTGTTTATGGGGCTTCACACTGAAGAGAGAGAGCGTTGCAGAAACTGTGTGCCGAGTCTTTATCTGGGTCGACCACAGCACCAGCTTTCTCTATTCCTGGCCTGGCTGTTAGGAGAAAGTTGCTCATCTGGGCTGGCTGTTCCCGACCAAAATTTATGCCGATGACCTCAACGAGGACCTCTCTGATGTGCGACAGTATTTTTAGCCTCTTCTAACCGTCCGTGCATAGTCCATAGCTTTCCACTGTCCTCAGACACGACCCCCACCACTGTCACAAGCCCACCTCTGCTCCCCTTGCACCTACTGGATGCAGCTTACGGTCCTGTGCCACAGTCTGTATTTACCTTCTCCCTCATTAATATGCTTGAGGTCTAGTTGCACTTTTTAAAAGAAATGTTTTATCTTAGAGTATTTTAGATTTACGGAAAAGTTGTAAAGATAGTACAGAGACTTCTCATATTCCCCCCAGTCAGTTGCCACTATTGTTATCCTACATTAGTGTGGTACATTGCCACAATTAATGAACCGGTGTTGATATGTTATTATTAACTAGAGTCCATACTTTGTCAGATTTCCTTACTTTTTACTTGATGTTCTTTTTCCATTCCAGGATTCCGTCTAGGACCCCACATTGCATTCAGTTGTCATGTCCCCTTAGGCTCCTCTGACCTGTGACAATTTCTCTGACTTTGTTTTTGATGACCTTGACAGTTTTTGAGGAATACTGATCAAGCATTTTGTAGAATGTCCCTCTCCTGTGATTTTTGGGAGATGCTTTTCTTGTTAGAAGCCTCAGGTTATGTGTTTTGGGGAGGAAGATCTCGGAAGTAAAGTACCATTTTCATCACATCACTTGAAAGGTCTCTGCTGTTGATGTGACTTACCACTACTGATGTTGGCCTGGGTCAGCGCACCGAGGTCGTTTTGCCAGTTTTCTTCACCATACAGTATCTCCCCCCCTTTCCATGTAGTACTTTTTGGAAGGAAGTCACTATGTGCAGCCCATACCTAGGGAGTAGGGAGTTATGCTCTGGTCTTCTGTGTTCGTTGATTCTGTATGACGTAGCCCTGGCCCAGTTCAGCACAGGGTAGAAGCACAATAAATGTTGAACAGGGGAGTGAGAAGGATACAGCCTTCCACACTGCAAGGAAGATTGATGTGACTGAGAAATGGCACAAAGGAAAATTAGGAGGATTTATTCAGCACCAGCTATGATGAGAAGAAAAGAAGAAGCATTTACCCACTTTGTGCTTTTTATTTATTGCACATGATCAGTAAATGACTGTTGAAAGCATGAATAGATCAGAATGAATGTAAGTAGAAAGGATTTTCCAAGGAGAGGAGGAAGAACTACATCATTGGTCTTATTTGAAGTGTCCCCTTCATTTTTGAGGTTGGGAGCAATTTGTTTGTTAAGGAGAGTTCTTCAAGAGAAGAAATGAAGCAAAAGAGAGCTGCCTTCGCGTGCTCCTTCATTCACGATCTCACTCTGCACAGAAGCACCTGGGCGAGCCAGACACTGAGGGCCACGCTTGTGCGGGAGCCAGGCCCTGCCCTTAGCACAGTCGGGAGTGGACTGGAGATGTCAAGTCAAATAGTCCCAGTCTAACAAGGGATGTGTTAA